AAGGAGGGGGTCCAAAATAAAACCCCAAAAAAAAAAAAAAAAAAAAAAAAAAAAAAAAACTTTTCCAAAAGATACTGAAAAACTTGGACTGTGGTGTAAGGAACTGTGGTACATATCCAAAGATTTGGGCTTTACTCTCAACACCACTATGAATTATTTATCTAATTTTGGACACATTATTTTATGTTGAGGATAGTTAAATTGGTTAATGTTGAAATTTTTTTCTCCTTTAAAAGTATTGATTTTTTGGAACAATATTGAAAACAGGCCAGGTAGGTTTTTCTGTTTAAATTTGCAAATAGGAGTTTTATGTAATGGAAAAGTCACACTGTTTATTGATATTGTTGGAGTTTTTCTTTCAGAGATTTGAGTTGCTATAACGTGATACCTAAAGTGTATTAAATGGTTCCTTTGACTCAGTAGTTACTTTGTTTTTATTAAACCTTTCAGTTTTTTTTCCATTTATAAGATTTTAGGTGCAAAAAAAAATTTGTAAAAATGTATCCAGACACTTTTGTAATTCATGGACCTGAAATTAAGTATGTCTGCAGAAATGAAAGCCAAAAATCATGCTTTTAAGTGTAGACTGTATACAGTAAAAAGTTAAAATTGATTCTATAGTAATCTAGTGTTCTGTTTGTAAAAACAACCTAGCTTAATCTCTAGGAGCTCCCAGTCTGCCTGTCCTTTGAGAGATCAGGCACAGTCATGGTTCATTGTTGGTGTGTTTTGTTGTTGTTCTCACTGAAATTCATTCTTCCTTCACGTTCCCTCTTTAAGCCTAACATGGTTTAATGAACTAGTTAAGTTGTTATTTGTTGGATTTGTTTTGTTTGAACAAAGATCTGGACCCAATTTCAAATTACTGCATTTCTCCATTTAGCTTTTCTTACCCAGAGAGAGATTTGTGGTCATTTTTGCAGTCTCCCTCATCATTTCTTTATAGGAAAATTATAGTTTCTAACTTTCTATCATTAAACACTTTATTATGTTGATATTTTTTCATAATCACATAATATAATTAATAAGAATCTCATTTGGCCAAAGTACTTCATTCTTCTATTTTAGCACATTGAGGTTCTTAAAGATTCAAAAATTAACATTGCTGTTGGCTAGAAAATAGTTTTGATAAATTGTTACTAAAATAACTTAGTTTAAACTATAATGAGGTTGCAGTTACTTGCATAGGAATTATGTAGATAGAATTTATTTAGACTTGATCTTATTGTCTATATATATTTCCATCATAGCAAATTGTATAAATCAAAAATAATTTGATTTTCAGTAAAATACTTTATTTTACTTTTTATAAGATTTGAAAAGGCTTAGGTCTCACACACAAAAAGGTATTAGATAACTGAAATATTAGTGCTTTGTGGAGTTATAAAATGTGCTTTTAATTTATATGGATTAAATTATCTTAGCTCCTAATTTTCCCCATCCTGCCCCAATGTAAAAGTCTGTGGGAGAAATACTTTTGTACAGCAACACAAAACCTCATCTGGAATGGGAACGCTGTCAGTACTGTGTGTCACAAACATGTTAGTGTACAGGAGTGAGTTCACAGTCGTGTAGTTGAACTTAGTATTTATTTAACAGCTTTTCAAAAGAAATTTTTGTTGTGTACACTTTCTGCCTTAGGTACCTTTAACTTTGATCCAAAGCTCCTGTTTAACTCTATTGATCTTGGTGCTCAGTAAGCTCTACTTGTGTCCACACTTTTCCAGTGTGCCTGGTCTCACACATTTGTCCACAGCAACAAAGTCTGCAGTAGCCCCTCCAGCCAGGTGTGGCTGTTCTTGCTCTTAACATGTCACAGTTTAGAGGCGGTTAAGTTCTTGGTTATCTGATCTGCTTATACCCCCCAGTTAGTGAAGTGTTTCTGTGACGTTGATACAATAAGTATAGTCATAGAAATGATAAATATTTTCAGCATTCTTAGGAAATGTAGATTTGATTGTGTTTGCAACACTTAGAAAAAAAGAGTACTGTTTATATGATTTGTTCCTACAGAGTTCTCTATCTTTTCTTTTCTGTTTTGGTACCAGGGGTTGTACTTGGGACCTTGTGCTTTCGAGGCAGACAGTGGAACCACTGAGCTAAATCCCCAGCCCCAGAATTCTGTATCTTTAATGGAGCCTTGGTTTCTGCACTGCTGACCTCCTACCCATTTTTGCAAAACAGAAAACCACACATACAGACACGTTGAAGAAGCATCTTAATAAAACACCTGTGTGGCAGGGATTTAGCTCAGCGATGCTGTGCTTGCCTCAAAAGTGCAAGGTCCTGAGTTCAATCCTAGGTGCTTAAAAAAAAAAAAAGTCTACAATAAAACACTTCCAGTTTTAGAAATTTGTGAAATTCTTGGTCTAGGTAAAGCATCAGAGAAAAATGAAAAATTTAAATTCAAATATTATAGACATAAACAAGAAGTGTAGTTAATGAATTTATCTCCTCCCTCTCTTACATTTTAGTGCAAAGAAATGTTTTCTGTGAAGACACTGTACGAGCCACAAAGGCCAGAAAATAATTTTTCTTGATACTACAGTGTTAATCATTTATTCTAGTTTCAGAAATTATTTTCCTTTTACTACTGGTATGATTATGGACAAGTTATTTAAACTCTCTGTACTTTAATGTGTAAACTGATGATAGTAGTAGCTACTTCATAATGTGGTTGTGAGGATTAAATGAGACTGGCAAAGCACTTAGAGCAGAATCTTGTACATATTGAGTTCTTTGTGAGTGTTGGCTTTAAACCTGTTTATAAAAATTTACAGGATCTGTATGTAACAATTACACAAATGTAAATGGTTGAATACATTGGAAAGTTTTCTGCATTCTGAGTGTAACAAGTAAGAATTATTTGTGACTTATGCTTAGCATACTTCTATTGCTTTTAGATTTGTAAAGGGTATAAAAAGTTTTCCTTTCTTCTCAATTATCCATTTCTTTCTTGAGAAAGCAAAAATGTTTTCCTGGTGAAAAATGATATAAAAGTTGTTGTCCCTGCGTAATACAATGCTTTATACATAAGGATGCTGTGTACATGTTCATCATGGAATGTAATCACATTGGGGAATAATCATTAGATGTACTGGGTTAATTGGATTTGGATGCTGAGGAAAGAAAGAATTAAAATACATTTAATGTGATGAAACTTGAAGTATATGATGAGGTGGTATTAATGGTAATAAGTATTTCTTCTGTGCTTGCACAGTTAGTGTCCTGATCATCAGCTCTGAGCTTGTTAAATGCTAGTGTGCCATTGAGATTTCCAAATGGGTTGTGGCTATGACAGGGCTCACTAGAGAAGAGTTCCCTGTTGAAACTTCTAAGATACAGAGTTTTTCATTTCTTCATGTACTGGGTAAGTGTGAATTCACTGTTAGAAACTATTAATAGGAATTATATTTATAGGGGCCATCAGTGATGAGTTGGTTTTTGAATCAGAGCCATTTTCCAGTTTACAAATGACTGTTATAATTATATTGAGGGAGGGGGCAAAAACCAGCATTGAGTTGAATAGAGTTTCAGTACTTGTTTAAAAAGCTTGATAAAATTCTACCAAATTTTCTTCTTCTTGTAATATGGTTTACAGACTGATATGGTCATTTGCACTTTTGCTCTTTCTACATTTTGTGACACATAGAAGTTTTGGAGCTGACAAGTGCATTATTATATCAAATCACTGTATTTCATAGGTGAAAAACCTGAGTCATGCATGGACTGTTTGAGATTGGCCATATTCAGTTTTGTTCTGTCTTCCCAAAATAAATGAGATCTGGCCATACCTTTTTACTAATTAGTGACAATGTCTGGCCTAGAACCCATATATTCCAACTCTTTCACTACTACCTTAGTATTTCCCAACTCTAAAACTGTCCTAAATATTCTGCTACTTTCTGAAGCAGAGAGGAGAGAGGTGAAAACAGAAATAGTTCTGCAGAAGAGGCCATGATTCAGAAAAATTTACTTACCAACTATATTGTATTATGAGGTAGCATAGTAAAATATTGTAGAATTTGAGGGCTGATAAT